ACTCTCTTACTATTATTATTTCCTTTTAGTGTATTGACAATTAATTCATGACCCTAGTCCCAACATTCAAAAAAAGAAAAAACAACTTTCCCTCTCTTTACAATAACCATTCTCAGGAAAATTTATAATCCCCTTCTCAGGCATTTTACACAAGTTGCAGTTTTCTGCTACATGTTCCTGGGGGAAATTGATAACAACCTATTTTTTAAATACATATCATATTCACTTGTTCAAGCAGATGCTGGTCAGATACAAAAGTAAGGCAGGCTCTCTCATTTCTCTCATAAGTAGAATGAAAGAAAATCATTTTCCTTTTCATAGTTAGAGGAAAAGGTCATGGTGCATTTTTATTCATAACACAGAAAAATCTTTGGCTGTCTTTATTTTTCTTTTCTACTACATTGTGAAATGAATGAGTGATAGCTGGGGTCAGGAAACAAGACGAGGTACTTGTTTTCCCTTTTATCCTATCTGCTCTCTGTAAACCAGTGATTCTCAATGTGTCACAGAATCTGGAAGGTCAAATCAACTCTCCTGATTCCACTAAAATACCATTTCCCTTTTTCAATTTGTGAGTATACAGTAGTTTTGCTGCAGGATGTGACTTACCATTTTACAACAAATTTATTACATATCATTTTACAACAATAGATATAAGATGACTTAGTTGCCTTCTATTAAGCCAAGGTTTGAAGACTTTTGCAAAAGTGAGAAACAATGCTACCTTTCTCATGAAATACTTTGGCTTTGGAAAACATAGTTTTCATGAATATATGTTTTTTTTTTTATTTTTTGCCAGGCAGAGTTAGACAGTGAGAGAGAGAGAGAGAGACAGAGAAAGAGTTATAGGTGAGAGAGAGAGAGAAAGGTCTTCCTTCCGTTGGTTCACCCTCCAATGGCCACTGCGGCCGGCGCACTGCACTGATCCCAAGCCAGGAGCCAGGTGCTTCTGGTCTCCCATGAAGGTGCAGGGCCCAAGCACTTGGGCCATCCTCCATTGCACTCCCAGGCCACAGCAGAGAGCAGGCCTGGAAGAGGAGCAACCGGGACTAGAACTCGGGGTGCCAGCACCGCAGGCGGAGGATCGGCCAAGTGAGCCATAGTGCCAGCCTCAATATATGTTATTTATATACATATCTTATATATTACTATATGATATATTTATATCTATTATATATTATATATCATGTATTTTAATATATATGATATATTTATATATTCCATATTATATTCTATATTATATATTTTATATATTAATCTATATTATATAATCATTACTTATATTAATCAATTTATTATTAATAATATATTAACAATTAATTATATATTATATAATCATTACATAAAATATATATTATATGCAATATATTATATAATATACAATGCATAATTATATATTATATAATCATATATAATAAATATATAATACTAATAATTAATTATAATTAATTATTATATTATTGATATAATTAATACTATTATACAATATATTATACATTATATATTTATATATTATGTATATATTATATATTTTAATATATAGATATGTATATAAATATATTTAGTACATATATGTTTACATGTCATGGGCTTTTTAAAACAGACTAATCATAAATACTTTAATAGTTTGCTTCAATATCTAATGTGATAAAAGCTGTTTGATAAAAATCTATGTAAAGACAAACTCTATAATGTTTACGAATGTCAGTAGGTCCTGAGGTCAAAAATTTGAGAACTGCTACTTAAGTAGCAGTTAAGGGAGGGTGGGAGTGTGGGCAGGAGGGAGGGTAGGGTAGAAGTATCACCATACTTTGAAATCTGTACATATGAAACTTATTCACCTTTTATAAATTTTCAAAAATTGTTTAAAAAAAGATCCAAAAAATGAGATGGCTGGGTTTGAATCCAGGTTTCACAATGACTCAATTTCCCCATGTCTTAGTCTCTTCATCTATAAAATGATATTGCTAAAAAGAGCAATTACTCCATGAGGTTGCTGTGGGGATACTATTAGCTTATATTTGTTAATATTTTGATAAGTGCTTAGTGCAATGCCTGGTCCACAGTATGAGGGCACTTCAAAATGTTTGTGGATAATGCAATTAAAGTGTATTTATTATTCTGCAAAACATTTTGAAATCATGCATACATATGAATTTTCTGTGAGCATTTTGAAAATCCTTATTGCCATACTGGACGCCATGGAAAAGCAAAGACTTGGAGTGTTAAGTGAAGAAAATATTAGGAGTAGACAACAGCGAGTTACTAACTAGAGAAAACAGGCCCAAGTCTTCGGGATTCAAAGCAGCCCACAGAGGAATCTTGTGCAGAATCATCAAAGCTCACTGTGATGAAAGGCAGTTTTTGTTTTTGTTTTTGCTGGGAATGCTCCACTTTATTTTTATGTACATAAAGAAATAGTCAATTGACTCAATGGTTACAGAACTGCTAGTATTCATTGAGAAAGAAAGAAATGAGGTCAGAAGACAAACTTTTCATTTCCTCCCAAACAAGTGTCACATACTTGTAACACAGGCAACACTGGTTTGCAACATATAGCCCAAGCAAGAAAAATGAATATCAAAGATGAAGAACCTTTAGATCCAAGAAGGAAATGAGGTTGGTACAAAGACATTTTAATGAGGAGCTTCTCTTGGTGACTGAGCTTCTTTGAAAATCCGAAGGACAAGTGGACTTCTACCATGCAACAGGCTAACAACCCTCTGGCCTCAGTGTCTATCTCTTAACAAAAAAATAAACACTACCACTTGATGGCAGTAGGCTCAAATTGCACAAACAACACAGAACACTTTGACATCACTAACTCATTCCCAAATGCCGTCCTAATGCATTTAAAGCTTATTTGAAATATTTTGTGTTATAAAGAAGGTGAAGAACTTTAAAAAAAAAATACCACATTTTCCAGGGGAATTTAATTAATATTTGAATAAAAGGAACTTTTATTTCCTCTACCATTTATTTATTGTGTTCTAATCCCGTTAAATAAACCAAAGTACATTTGAAAGTACTCTTGTTTTATAATAGTTAAGTGCTAATTAAATGCCCTATTTATTTACTAATCTTCAAAAATAGGACTTTGCTAACACATGTTAACTTTTTAATTCACAATTTGGCACATATGATTGTATAGTTTTTAAAAAACAACAAAGACTTTTAACCATTGTGTATTGAAAAGCAAATAATGGGCTTAATGTTTTAAATTCAGGCATAATTTAATTTCCTATAATTAAATATGTCACAATTGCTAAACCTCAGAGTTGCAATGGCAATTCTTTGTTTGTATGAAGCTTTAGAGAGTAGGAGGAATTATTCCCTGCATGCAAAATGCCCTATTATTTTTCTCACCCAAATGCAAGGTTGACTCACCATTTTTAAGCTTATTATATAATTCCAGAATGGCACTAGTAAATTTTTGAAGAAAGGTTAACTTTTTTTGTACGATGCCTTTCACATAGTAGGAATCTACTGAATTTACAGATAATCGTGATAATGACACTCTTCTTCTAAAAGCAGAGGAGTACAATCTTCCAAACAAATAAATTCCTTCCCTTGAGATTTTACATAAAGGAACCCTGATGTATGTACCAGAGAGTGGCTCTTCTTCTTTCTGGTCCTCTTTAAGAACAATGGAAAAAGTTAAATAGACCTATTTGCTTTTGTTCAGAGGTTAACTTAAACAGAATTCTTGCATTTTTCCTGTGACATCTCTGTTGACAGCTTGTGAAATATTTTGTAGCTGTAACTTTTTAGGCAGTTTCTAGCCTGAATCATAAGAAACACCAGGTTTCAGAGATTGCATACATGTCTTTTGATTCTTTTATAAAGAGAAAAATATAGGGAGCTTAGATAAGTCGTAAAACCTGAGGAGAATGTTATAGTTTTTATGTTTTTTAGCAAAGCGATTTTGGGTGAGAACATAGTAAGTGTTCTGCTATCTATGTGAGTCATCCTGATTCAAACACAGCAGATAAAAGCTAAGGCAGAATGAGACAGGTTGATGGTAATACAGTTTAGAACTCAAACCAGACTGTGCAGGTAACATACGTAGTACAGTACTTGACCCCCTGAGCTCTCAATACCAACTGTAATAATATAAGGATATTTATTATTTTTAGAAGGTAAAGCAATTGGCCTTCTTTCCTATTCCTTCCTGCCTTACATGGCTATCTTCTTCCTCCTCCTTACTTAAGGAATTGCTAATTTATTTTATTCCACAAATATTTATTGGGTGCTTATGCTATAGCAGGTACTATTTTAGTGCTGTTTCACCATAATGAACCATAGTCCCATGATCCTAGAAAATGGCAGGGATCAAGACATGTCTCCCATTTGTGTGTTTCATTAGGCAACTTACTGCAAAGAACCACCCTTCCATCTAATTTAGGTAAGACCTACAACAAATCTAGACTCAGATCCTCCAAACTCCCATTCTATGCTTCATAGAGGATAACAAGTATTTCTGAACTCTTTGTCCCCATTGGCCAATATAACTTGATTAAAGTTTGGTTAGGCATCTCTCCTTCCCCCAGGAAGGAACTTGAACACTGAACTGTGGATTGGTCCCCTCTTCTCTCTTTAATGTCAAGAATTGATTGACCTTAGGTAAAACATTCCTTAAACACCTGTCCCATCATTTAACCTGCTAATTTCTTTTTCCACTCTTGGTTCTTTCTAGCCTTATTTATTCTTCCCTATCAAATAAAATTCTCTTTTAGTTGATACTTCAGATGGTTTCAGATCTCATGGTTGTAGTGCACTTCTCACTGGAATAGTTCTCCCCATTGCAATAGTCTATTTTCTCCTATTGGAATAATTCTTTTGAATAAAATCTCTTCATCTTGAATTCAAAGTTTGTTTTTTGTATGATGGGCATTACAGCTATAAATGGAACATATATACATTACTGCTGTCTTGGCACAAACATCCATGGGAAAGACAGACAGATAATAAGAAGAAAAGAATTTGTGCTCTTATGCTAATTACTCAGGAGAACAACTGAAAGAAAGAAAGGAGTTATTAAATATGGAAGGTGCCTTAGTTTGTTTCTGCTGCTATAATAAAAATTCCTGAGACTAGGTAATTTATAAAGAGCACATTTTTTTTCTCATTGGTTCTAGAGATTGGGAAGTACAAGATTAAGGTTCTGGCAGGGTTAGTGTCTGGTAAGAGCTGTTTCCCACTTCCAAGATGGTCCCTTGTTGGCTGTGTCCTCCAGAGGACAATGTGGTGTCCTCCCATGCTAGAGGCAGAAGGGCAAAAAGGAGACCAATGTAGTTCTCTCCAGCCCTGTCATAAGGCACTAATCCATTCATGAACTCTCAGCCCTTGTGACTTAATCACTTCCCCCAAAGACCCACTGCTTATTACAACACAATGGGGATGAAGTTCCCACATGGTTCTCGGAAGGGATACATTCACACCAGAGAAGACAGATCATTTGAATTGTGTGTGGGATGGCCTGAGAAGGCCTCATTGAAGTGACTTTAGAGAAAACCACCCTGTGAATGAAGGAGCAGATATCTGAAGGGAGAACACTGTAGGCCTTGAAACGAGAGCAAGCCCAAGGTAGGCAGGCAACCATGAAGGTGGTGATGTGGCAGGATCAGGAAGATTTCTGACACTCTCACGTGACTCCATCTCATGAAGGCATGGGATTCTTCAGTGAGGTAGGTCTTCCTCAGGACACAAGACCATTTTTCTGAGCCTTGTTAATGGTGACCAGCAGAGGGCTAGTCTGCTAAGCTCCTTCCTGACTTCTGTTGAGGTGACTTCACTGAAGACTCCTACACATGCAGTGGGACTACAGAGATCAAAGTCTTGCCTTCTAGAATAGTAGTCTTCAATGTCAAGTGTTTTGATGTTCAAGACCACAAATAGTACATTTAACAGAGAATAGATCAAGTATCTGATGGCCTCACCACTACAGACTAGATCAAGGTCTTACTAGCTTGGGTACAAATTGGGCAGGAATAAGGGACACATACCAGAGAGTTCCTGGGCCCTGTGCCTTTTTCTCTTTCTTGGGGACTGATTTCCTATGCATGAGTGGAGGAAATGATAAAACTCTTGGATAGATTTGGAAATCAGGTCAGAGAGACTTTGTGTCTCACTTCTATGTGAGAAACTCCAGAAGATCTTCAAGCTCCTTAGAGTAGCCCAATTCCTTCTCCACCCTCTTCTTCCAATCTAAGCATGCTGAAGTAGCCATAAGGGAGAAATAGTAGCAGGAGAAATTCTGGCAGAGAGAGCTGAGTTTTCTCCTTACAAGTACACCCCACCTACAACACACAGAGAAATTCAGAAGAATAAGCAGGAGTGCTCTCCAACTCCTGTGAATAGGGAGCAAGTGGCTGTGTAGACCACACCCAAGTAGTGTCCTGAGAGGCTGAGGAGGATGCAGATCTTTATAGGCCAGTGCATGCTATGTGTTGAGACTCACAGGAGGAAGATAGCAGGAACAGATGCTAACAACCATGGACCGGAAACCTATTCCCAGGAATGTTAGGACAATGCGTGAGCTAGAGTCTCAAGTCTCCCAGGGAGAAGAGCAGCAGAGGGATTGAAAGGAACTCTGATTTCTCTGGTTTCAGACTAGAAACAACTGAGTAAACTTGTGCAAACTCTGAAATGATCAGAGTAGGTTTTCTACTCTGATGGAAGATGGTCTTCAGTAACAATGAAGGTTTCACTCCCTGAGCATGTGTTCTGAAAAATCAAACTAGTTCGATGACCTGCAGTACTAATGACTTTGCTTATTAATACAAGGTGAAGTCACCCTACAGTGTAGCTCTGTTTCGATGTTTTGCTTCCCATTATCTGGCAGAACAGCTCTAGTATTGATGTTCAGCTCTTTAATGTGGAGCAGTCACTAAAATCCTCTTCATTGGCTCTTAGTCATCTTATGTCTTCCTTATGAGAATCTCCTTTGGGTACCTTTTCACATCAGCCAAAAGGGTACAGGTGCCCATTTGTCAAGGAGAAAGAAGCATCAATAATCCTACCAGTGTTGTCTTGCTGCACAACTCTAGGGGTTGCATTGTATATTATGTAAATGATGCTTTCCTATGTTACCAAATCTCACTCTTTGACTTACTTCTGCCCATCAATTTTTGTAGGTACATTGTATACTTTTTAAAAAAAGATTCATTTATTTAGTTGAAATAATTACACAGAAAAAGGAGAGGCAGGAGAGAAAGAGAGAGAGAGAGAGAGACAGAGAGAGAGAGAGGTCTTTCATCCACTGGTTCACTCCCCAGTTGTCCACAATGGCTGGAGCTGTGCTGATCCAAAACCAGGAGCCAGGAGCTTCCTCCAGGTCTCCCACTACAGTACATGGGTCCAAGGAATTGAACCATCTTCTACTGCTTTCCCAGGCCATAACAGAGAACTGGATTGGAATTGGAACAGCTGGGACTCCAACCAGTGCCCATTTGGGATGCTGGCACTGCAGGCAGTGGCTTTACCTGCTACGCCACAGCGCCAGCTCCCATTGTATACTCTTTGTTAATATGATTATAACCTTTGCCTAGCAATTTTAATAGATACGATAATAATTTACATATATTTTCTTCATTTTTAATTAGTATGTTTATAAGATTTTCCTATTTTTTTTAAAAAAGATTGATTTATTTGAAAGACAGAGTGACAGAGAAAGAGGGAGAGAGGGAGGGACATAGACAGAGATTTTCCATCCACTTGTTCACTCCATGAATAGCTGAAATGACTGGAGCTGGGCCAGGCTGAAGCCATGAGCACAAAACTCCACCAGAGTTTTCCACATGGGTGTCAAGGACCCAAGCACTAGGACCGTCTTTATCTGCTTTCTCAGGTACATTAACAGGGAGCAGATTGGAAGCAGAGAAACCAGGACTTGAACTGGCTCTCTGATGTAGGATGCCAGTGTCACGAATGGTGGGTTAACTCCCTGTGCTGTGACAGTCCTCTATTTAAAAAATATAATGGGACAAACATTCTTGGTTACAATTATTTCTTCACATATTTTTATGTTCATTAATAATGAGTTGTTGCTTTAGGTTAAATTCTGAGAAATAGGTCAAGGGGTGTGGACATTCTGGAGATTCATAACACTCAGTTAAAAGTTGTTTTCCAGAAACATTGTTTTGATTTACTTTCCCAATAACCACATAAGAGACTGGCTTTTTCATTGTAGCATTGCCAGTATTGAGAAGTCTCCTGTAGACAAATTGGCAGAGTTTAAGGTAGTAGTTGAGATGGTGGAAGTAAAATTTTGTTCATTTCATAAGAAAAAGAATTATCATTGTATTTCTAAAATTGCATTAAACATGACAATGTACACAAGGACATTAGAAACATACACCATTTGAACTGGCAATTTCAACTCTAAAATCCTTTCATAAAAATAAATGGAGAGTACATGCAAAAATGAATACTTAGTATTTCTTATGGTTACAAAATAATGAAATATAAAAGCAATTTATATAGAGAGGGATTGTTGGATAAATTATAAAACTTGTCTAATAGAATATTATAAAGATACTAAAGTATTATAGAAATATACTTAATTTAGACTATTATTGAGTTCTTAATGAAAATTATCTCAGTAAATTATGTTTATGAGTGTTTTTTTTTTTTCAGGCAGAGTTAGACAGTGAGAGAGAGAGAGACAGAGAGAAAGGTCTTTTTTTTTTTTTCCGTTGGTTCATCCCCCAAGTGGTTGCTACGGCCAGCGCGTTGTGGCTGGCGCGCTGCACCAATCCGAAGCCAGGAACCAGGTATTTCTCCTGGTCTCCCATGCAGGTGCAGGGCCCAAGCACTTGGGCCATCCTCCACTGCCTTCCCGGGCCACAGCAGAGAGCTGGACTGGAAGAGGAGCAACCAGGACAGAATTCGGCGCCCCAACCTGGACTAGAACCTGGAGTGCTGGTGCCTCAGGCGGAGGATTAGCCAAGTGAGCCATGGCGCCGGCCTTATGAGTGTTTTAATAATACACTTATATGTTCATTTAAAAATACATAAAGATGTACCCAAATTTTATAATTGGCTTTTTGTATATTTTTGTTTTGTTTATTTTACTCATGCTCATTTTATAATTTTATGCAATGAAAAAAAATCTAATACATTGTTAAATTTAATTTCTTTAATGCTAGATTTTTATTGTTTATTTTTATAGCTTTTTAAGCTTTTAAAATTTATATAAAGGGAACAAATTTCATGTGTTTCATATACATAGTTTTAAGAGTATAATGATACTTCCCATCCAACTCTTCCTCCCTACTTCACTCCTACTTTTACTTCTCCTTATTTTCTTATTTTTTTTTACAATCCCGTGCTTTCAATTTACTTTATAATCACAAGCCTAACTCTCCACTAAATAAGTAATTCAACAGTACTAGATAGAAAAACCACTGATCCTCAAAGAATATAGAAAAGGGCCATAAACAATAATCAAATCTCAAAATGTCAATTTCACTCTTATACATTACATTTTTTTACTCTGTATTAGTTACCTACCATAAATCAGAGAAAACACAATATTTGTCTTTTTGGGATTGGCTTATTGTGCTAAGCATAACGATCTCTAGTTGCATCATTTTGTTGCAAAATACAGAATTTTATTCTTTTTATGGCTGAGTAGTATTCCATCATGTATGTATACAATTTATCCAGTCATCAGTTGATGGACATCTGGATTGATTTCATATTTTAACTATCATGAGTTGAGCTGCTATAAAAACAGGAGTATATATAACTCTTTCATTTGCTTACTTCATTTCCTTTGAGTAAATTTCCAAGAATGAAATGGCTGGGTCATATGGTAGATCTATTTTCAGATTTCTGAGGAACGTCCATACTGTCTTCAGTAATGGTTGCACTAGTTTACATTCCCACCATTTCCCCCTACCTCCTCACTAGTGTTTATTTTTTGAGTTTTGGATAATGGCTGTTCTAACTGGGGTGAGGTGAAATCTCATTGTAGTTTTGATTTGCATTCCTCTGATGGCTTGTACCCTTTAGGCCAATTACATTTTATCCTTTGAAAAATGCCTGTTCATATTCTTAGTCTATTTCTTAATTGGATTGCTGTTTTGTTGTTGAGTTTCTTTTTTTTTAACTTTTATTTAATGAATATAAATTTCCAAAGTATAGTTTATGGATTACAATTGCTTCCCCCCCCATAACTTCCCTTCCACCCGCAAACCTCCCCTTTCCCTCTCCCTACCCCCTTCCATTCACATCAAGATTCATTTTCAATTCTCTTTATATACAGAAGATCAGTTTAGCATATATTAAGTAAAGATTTCAACAGTTTGCACCCACACAGAAACACAAAGTGAAAAATACTGTTTGAGTACTAGTTATAGCATTAAATCACAATGTACAGCACATTAAGGACAGAGATCCTACATGAGGAGTAAGTGTACAGTGACTCCTGTTGTTGACTTAACAATTTGACACTCTTGTTTATGGCATCAGTAATCACCCTAGGCTCTTGCCATGAGTCGCCAAGGCTATGGAAGCCTTTTGAGTTCACCGACTCTGATCATATTTAGACAAGGCCATGGTCAAAGTGGAAGTTCTCTCCTCCCTTCAGAGAAAGGTACCTCCTTCTTTGATGACCTCTTCTTTTCACTGGGATCTCACTCGCAGAGATCTTTCATTTAGGTTTTTTTTCCCCCAGAGTGTT